AGGAGGCCATCTAGTGCAACCCCCTGCTCAAAGCAGGACGAGCCCAAATAGATCATCCCAGCCAAAGCTTTGTCCAGCCGGTCTTAAAAACCTCCAAGGATGGAGCTTCTGCATCCTCTCTGGGTAACCTGCTCCAGTGTTTTACTACCCTCCTAGTGAGAAAAGTCTTCCTAATATCTAACCTAAACTTCCCTTGCTGCAACTTGAGACCATTGCTCCTTGTTCTGTCATCTGCTGCCACTGAGAACAGTCTAGCTCCAACCTTTTTGGAGCCACCTTTTAAGGAGTTGAAACCTGCTATTTAAATACCCTCTCAGTCTTCTCTTCACCAGACTAAATAAGCCCAGTTCCCTCAGCCTCTCCTCAAAAGTCATGTGCCCCCATCCCTCTAAATGCTGGTGTGTGTCTTTCCAGATAAGGCTGGACCAAGCACTGGAGGGCAGCCTGATTTGGAATAATCCTGCTTTGCTGATAGTCTGATATCATCGCAAGCATATTTTAACACGCTGCTCATCCCCCAGCCCTATCTGTGGCAAGTTAAAGGGTATTTTTGATATCCTGGACACTATGCCTAGTAGCTGCGTGTCAGGGGTGTTCCTAACGTTTTTAAGAACAGGCTAGACAAACACCTGTCTGGGATGGTTTGGACAGATCCTGCCTTGAGCAGAGGTTGGACTAGATAACCTGAAGTCCCTTCCAGCCCTACTCTTCCTTGATGTTAAGGTTCTGTGGTTCATAGGGATCATGATGTGTGTACTATTATGATGTTTGCTACCTGTGCTAGCTCTTAACATTACCTTTTGGCTTGTGTCTCTCAGAAAGATCACCGGGTCAGGTCTCGATGACTCATAGTTTCATAGTTGTTAGGGTCAGAAGGGACCTATTAGATCATCGAGTCTGACCCCCTGCCCTGGGGAGGAAAGAGTGCTGGGGTCAGATGACCCCAGCCAGGTGTTTGTCCAATCTCCTTTTAAACACCTCCTAGGAAGGGGACAGCACCACCTGTCTAGGAAGCCTATCCCATATTTTAGTGACCCTCACTGTAAAAAAATTTTTCCTGATGTCTAATCTAAATTTGATCTCTTCCAGTTTGTGGCCATTGTTTCTAGTTACCCCAACAGGCGCCTGGGTAAACATTGTATCCCCTATTTCTTGGCCCCTCCTGATGAGTTTGTAGGCAGTCATGAGATTACCTCTCAGCCTCCTCTTGTGGAGGCTGAAGAGGTTCAGGTCTCCCAATCAGTCCACATAGGGGTTTTTCTGCAGGCCTTTAACCAGATGAGTGGCCCTCCTGTGAACCCTCTCCAGGCCATCCACATCCCTCCTGAAGTGCAGTACCCAAAACTGGACGCCGTACTCCAGCTGTGGCCTGACCAATGCCGCATAGAGGGGAAGTATCACCTCCTTAGGCCTGTTTGCGATGCCCCTACTTATGCAAGAAAGGGTGCGGTTAGCTTTACTTATTACTTCATCATCACGCTGGTGACTCATGTTCATTTTGGAGTCAGCTACGACTCCGAGATCCCTTTCCACAGTTGTGCTACTTAAAATGGTCCCTCCCAGGCTGTAGGAGTGTTGATGATTCTTCCTCCCCAGGTGCAACACATGGCACTTATCCTTGTTAAACTGCATCTTGTTCTGTGTGGCCCATTTCTCCAGCCTGTCCAAATCAGCCTGGATTTGCTCCCTGCCATCTGGTTTGTGTACCTCTCCCCATAGTTTGGTGTCATCAGCAAACCTGGACAGGGTGCTTTCTACTTCCTTGTCCAAGTCATTAATGAAGATATTGAATGGTACCGGTCCCAAGACAGAGCCTTGGAGACTCTGCTGCCCACATTTCTCCAGGTAGAAACTGACCCGTCCACCACCACTCTCTGGGTGCGTCCCCTAAGCCAATTTCCTACCCACCGGACTGTGTAATGACCTACACTGCAACTGTTTAGTTTATTTATAAGAATTGGGTGTGACACTGTGTCAAAGGCCTTCTTGAAATCTAAGTAAATCATATCTACCTCTATTCCTTCATCCAAGCATTTTGTGACCCAGTCATAAAATGAGACCAGGTTAGTCAAGCAGGATCTGCCTGCTATGAACCCATGCTGATTGCCCCTTAGCATCATTGTACCTGCTGGTCCCCTACAAATGTGATGCTTAACAATTTTCTCAAAGGTCTTGCCAAGGATAAAGTTGAGACTAACCGGCCTATAGTTACCCGGTTCCTCCTTCCTCCCCTTCTTAAAAATAGGGACAACACTGGCCCTTTTCCAATCCTCCGGGACCTGTCCTGAGCACCACAAGTGCTCAAACAGTTGTGCCAGCGGCTCTGCTATGACACCAGCTAATTCCCTAGATACCCTAGGATGAACATCATCAGGACCTGTTGACTTAAATACATTCAACCCTTAAATACATTCTTGCCCACTCACTTTCTTTCACCAAAATAGAGGCCCTATTTCTGCCTTCGTTTCCACTAGCACAAGGTAAACACTTTAGTGATGTCCATAAATGGATACAACTGGTACAAAGGAGACTGAAATAACAGTCAAATTCATGCATGCTACATCCCAGTTTGCCCTGGGCATAAAGTCCTGCTAATACCTTTTGTCTAGGTCTGGTTCTGGCCTCTGTGAAAGTCCAGAGGGCACTCACCTTGCGTGTGTCCCCAAGCAGGGGTGTGAACCACGACATGTCAAGATGTCCACACTGCAACAGGAGGCCCCCATCCACACCTGCTCGGCTTCACCTCCCCGTCAGGTGAAGCGGATTGGTGCCAATCTGCAGCAGGAGCAATATCCGGAGGCCGGGAGCAGAACCAGAGGAGGGCGGAGAAGGACAGCAGAAGCGCAGGAGGGAGAGGCCGGAGAACGGATCGCATAGGGTGAAAACGGGGAAGACTGGGTAAGTCCATGGTCAGACCCCGAAGACGCGGTGGCACCCTTACCACGGGAGTAAAAAGGAGGGCGGAAGAGTCAAGATGGCAGAAGGCTGACCGGGAAAGACCTTAGGAGCAGCACAAGTGACAGATCCGCCCGAACTGTCTGCCGTGGACTGGTTTTTTTCTTTCTTTTTTTTTTTCTTCTTGCTCTTGCTTTCCTTGCTGCCTCTCCTGCCAGGTAGGGAGCCCAGATCAAGGCTAGGCAGTCCCTCATGGAGAGGATCGGACACCTGGAGGATCCCCACAGATGACCAGGAGCGGGCAGAGAACCCAAGCTGTGAGGACCGTGCCCAGCTGATCGACCCAGCAGGGATTCCCCTTCTCGTTAAGCAGCACGTGCCGCCAATTAAGCCTGGCATGCCGTCAATTAAGCTGGCACAGATCTCATATAAAGTATTGAGAGCAGCCCAGAGCAGGGAAAGTGAGTTGCTGAAGACCCTTGGAAGGGGGGGTAACCACCCCAAGGGGCAGGAATCTGACCTTGATGATGCCCAGAAGATAAGCAGGACAAAGGTCATAAGAATTTAGTAAACTCGAAAGAAATAAAGAGAACAAAAGTAAAGAGTTTATGTGGGTTCTTCCTGTGCATCTATTCTTGGATCTCTGGGCACTGAGGCAGCCCCGTCAATCAATCTGGGTGTGGGATGGGTAGTCACCACCTCCCTTTTCATAAAATCTCGTCTTATCATCAAAGTCGTGGCAGGCGGGAAAAGAAAAGGTACCAGACCCCACCCAAATTGACCACAAGGGACGTAGCTGCCCTGAGGGGCCAGTGAATGCCAACTGGATGTAGGTGTACATGCCCGTATACGGTGACTACCCGACAGCCTCAAACGCTCATTGTTTGTGCACTAGAAAGGGTCCTAGGAACACACTCTGTGCATTTGCACTGAAACACACAATCGTTCCAAAAAGATGAAATTATCACTTCAGGGATGCAGTCCAAGTAGGTGTCAGCCCTGGGAAGTGAAGGAAGTCCACAGCATCCCAATTATCTTGACAAATCCCCATGTGAAGGAAAAATCGGTGGGAGGCAACCTCACCTGCATGCTTCCAATTTTCCTGTTCTCAAGTGGGCTTGCATGTAATTTTTCATTTTGCTTGGAACATTTACAGGAAGGACACACACTACAGGGCATTCTGGGTCCATGTGTTTGGAATAACCCCTGCACCCTCCTCACCAGAATCTAAAAGCTGCCTGAATTTCTATCATCAGGAGAGGAATGTCTTCTTGCCCTTGCATTATAACCATGCGCCTTTCCTTATTAATCTCTCAAATGAGTCCATTATTCCCACATGCCCCGTCTTTACTTAGTGCTATCAGATCTTCATAGTCTCTAATCTCTGGGCCCAGATAGCTTTTATTTCCCTCTGCCTTATCTGTAACATGAAATTTGTTTCCTGTTTATATCCCTGTTCCACAAATCATGACCTTTCTCATGTGGTGACTGCTGCTCTGCACATGTCCAGCTCTTATTCTATTATCTTGGCCTTTCAACCTACCACTTCCAAGGGAAGGCCTTTTCATTTAATCTAGATGTGGAAGTTGTGCAGGTCAGTGCATATGACACCAGAATGAGAATCAAGAAGGAAATGCATGTGATCTCATTACTTCCACAGACTCAGTGCCTTACTTTGGACTCGTCAGTGTTGTGCCTTTGTTTTCCCGTCTGCAACACAGGGCTATTAGCGTCTGCTCCATTTGTGTAGAGCATGTTGTAATCTGTGGTTGAACAGTTCTATGTAGATGGTAGCTGATGTTTGTAGTAGGTAGGTGCTGACAATGTGGCAGAGGCCATCGGGAAGCATGGTCCTACTATGCTTGCTCACATGCTTGCTACTGGGGCCTGCTGGAATTCAGCAGTGTGGTCCCAAGTGATGGCTGAGTTAGGCACATAAGTGAAATGAGGGGATGGACGGAAAAGCAAGGAAAATGTCCCTCGATATGAGAGGTAGGTCATTGAATGGGAGCTATTATGCAATCTCTTGAACTGCCTCTGTGGATATGATAGTGATTTTTGTGCTTGGTGGCTTCTCTTACTGGTGTCTTCCCCTTCTCTCTCAGCCACAGTTGGCAGATCATGACATCCCCACTGAAACCATTACTGGATTGGGTCTACCTGTGGCTGGCTATCTCAGAACAAGTCTTCAAAGGGTCCTTTTCTCTTTCAACTCCCTCCTTAAAATCATGACTCTTGCAAGAAATAAGCTAAAGAATGTGTGGAAGGCTCAGCGGGGGAAGACTTATTTGCTGAAAACCCTAATTTGTTGTATGCCCTATCTGTCTGTCCTCCCCTTTGTCACATGTAAAGCAAACCCTGCCTCACTCCCCCAGGAAAAAGTGGAAATGACCTTGAGCCAAAGTGGAAGTGCTTGGCCCGTGTTTGTCACCTGAGCTAATGGAAATGCTTGCGGTAAGCAAACAGCGCTAGGGATGTCAAACCAGCTGGGCTGTTAATATTCCAAAGTGGTATCAATGCAGCCAGGGATTTAAAAGATAATATATTTAGCTCCTATCTTATGGAGCAGAAAGGGCTACAGTGCTTCTCTTCTGTGAAGGAGAAAGAACTTTATGAGAACAGGCACTGAGGAGTCTGGGTAACCAGGCATTGCTGCATCCTGGAAAGGCACAAGCAAGAGTAGCTCATGTGAGCGTTTGCTGAGAATGGCTTTGTCCACCGTGTTGTGTCCTCTTCCTCAGCCCTCTGCCTGAATCCTCCTTCTCATCTCCTCCTTTATCAGCTATGCAAATAATTACATTTTTGCTGCATTAAACAACCACGTAAGAAAAAACCTAAACAGACCCCAAACAGGAGGCCTGGATAGTCACCAATTTTGCATGCATTGGTGGGGGTTCAGAGGGAGACCTAAGCTGGCCTGAATTTACAAATGGCTCGTCCCTTGATAAAGGGCCAGGACGGCCACTGTGTGCTTCAAAATCCAGGTTCAGTGCTTGTAGTCAGAGCCCATGTCTACACCACGATTCCACCTTTTGCTCCAGATTTTGGGCTGTGATGAGAAAATACAATTATGCACTTCTACCACCAGAGGCCAGTAGGGAGTGCAGCACTTCACCTTGGGAAGCTGTCCCTGGAAGCTGACTTGAATGATTTCTTACATTTGGTGAAACTTCAAACTGTTTACATTTTTATGGCACCTCATGCTGCCCAAGCAGGAACCTGAGATGCTGCAGCCCAGCAGGATGTGGGCCCATGACCAGGGGCCAGAATCTGGAACCCCAACATTTCTGCTGAGCGTGCTGTCAGTCAAGGCGAGGCTGGAAGAGAGAGAGATCTAGCTAAGCTGCAGGAGCTGGTTAAGCTTCGATGAGCTTATGAGAGGGAATACTGGGAACTGGAATAACTGCAGCCAAAGTCCTTGCAATGTAGTGCTGTGCTGGATGAGGAAGGCAAACATGCTTGGATGCAGGACTCTAAAAGTGCATCCACACATGTAGACACGTGCGCTTGCAGAAGCTCAAATAGCAGCAGCACAAATTTGTGCCAGAGATTTATGCCTTAGCACACATGCCTGAACATACACTTTGGGGTGAGGCAAAGTGTGCCACATAGGGCAAACTGACCCTGCCCAGCTCCTCCTGGATCCTCAGCCAGGGGGAGCTAGAGGCTGTGCTGGCCCCAGCAGTATAAAAAGCTGCTCTGGTGGGCAGCTCAGGGCTACTTGCCCCCAGGAGCTCCTGAGACCCAGCCAGTTCGTAACTGGGGATACTAGCCTCTTGTGCCAGCTGGATTGCTGAAGCATCCCTAACGTAAAGTGTCCCTTGCGCTCTTTACCCACTGCAGCAGTCTGGCAGTGGGGGCTGCTGCCTGGCTGTACCTGGTGTCACCTGCAACGGCATCTGCCCCCTTGGACCTGTGGCCCCACGGCTGTGCACCTGCCAGACTCAGACAGGGACCTCAAGGCCACCTGGGCTATGGTATGTAGCAGATCTGCCTGCACCTCTGGGCCAACTGCCAATAGGTCATGGCTAGAGAGTTGGCCTTCGTGTGGCACTGCTGTCATGTCTTCTGGTGCCCCTTCTATAGCCCAGAAGATATGCTTGTTGCAGTCAGTGGCCCACTGTGATCTGTTGAATCATATCCTCCTGGCCCCAAATCAATGCTGTAGCAAGGGCAGGGTGAGTGGGGTGACCACCCAAGGCGCCAAAGTGAAGGGGCACCAACAGGTGCTGCCCAGCCAGGGCAGGGTGTGGGACAGAACCACGAGCAGCTTGTTTTGGGGGGTGGGGAGGGCACAGGGACAGGGGATGGGTGGCTCCCACCGCTGTGTGCACTCCCAGGCAAGCATGCATGGGGGCGTGCCCCCCAGATCTGTGTGTGGGGAAAGTATGGGTTTGTTGCTGCAGGCTTTGTCCCTGGCACCACAGTACTGCCCCAAATGGCCAGGTCACCTCATCTGCCATCCAGGTAGATCCCCAGTGCTGGCCCTGGGCAGGCTTCTCTGCCCAGATCCCACCACTTGCCTCACTAGCAGGGATCCTGGTGTTCTCTGTTTTAAAAACTGCAAATTCTCTGATTAAAAAACCGCCAATTCTCTCATTACAATACCCCAAATCTGCGTTCTTCTGCAATTAAAATTAAATGCCCCCCACTCACTTCCTCCTGGTAGCAGCTCTGTCCCAGCACCAGGACATAAGTCCAGCTGCAGCTGTCCCACCCACTGTTTTGTGGCTCTGTGCAGTGCCAGCCCTTGCTGTTCTGCTCCCTGCACCTGTGCCCAGGCCCCAGCCATCCCCATGCTGTTCCTGGGAAGCCCTTAACTGAGGCTCAGGGACTGGGCTGGGCAAGCCCCTTCCCTTCCAGGCCGGCCTCCCCCTGCACAGGCTGCTCTAGGGAGGCAGGGGGACTCCAAGCCTGGCTTTGGTGGCCTCTCCAATCTGAAGCACTCCCCTATCCCCCACCCCTGTCTCTCTCTCTCTCTCTCTCTCTCTCTGTCACACACACCACCTCTGGCCCATCACATAC